GATTACCAATCAGCCTTCTACCGGCGTCATCTAAAATCATGGAAAGAATTATAAGAGATAGACTGTTGTCGTGGCTTAACAAAATGCATTTGATCCTAGCTAAGCAGCATGGCTTCATTAGCGGTGCCTCTACTACGACTAACCTTGTTGGTAGTACCTATGATTGGATGCTAGCTTTGAACCACCGAAAGTCTGTAGATATGCTTTATATTGATCTGCTTAAGCATTTGACAGAGTTAGCCACGGTAAACTGCTACTCATGTTGGAGGCACTAGGCATAGACGGCTCTTTGCTCGACTGGTTTGCCTCTATCTGCACAACCGCTTTATGGCAGTCAATTACAGTCAGTTACAGTCACAGTCCGCTCTGCGGCTAATAAAACAGCTCGCTACCCGGTTTTTACGCCTATGTCTGGCAGTAGCCTTCGTAATGAGCCTGGTAAAATATGGTAGTGTACTTATTAATGTAAGTTTGTATGAATTTTTGTTGCAAATCTGTAAGGAGAAGCGCTGATTTCTCAGTATTTTGGCCTCGCTGTCAGCACTTGTTATATTCTTTAACAGTACTTCAATAACTAGGAATAAACAAGACGAGATTTTTACACAATATAAAGAACGTTCAAATTTTGACCGACACCCACTGTTCAAAGAATGTCCAACCAACTCTGCGTTCCTAAGCTTCGTTATACATGGGTATTGATTGAGAGGCTTTGGACAAGCCACGGTTTAAAGCACCTTATATTTCTAATACACGATCAAGAAATTTTAATCTAAATTCTACTTTAGACCGTAAACTTGGCGAGCGAGCCAATCAGCGTCTGCGATTACGGTTCAATTTTTATGAGCTATGAGTGGTACTGTAAGTGTTTCCATATTTTAATTCATCAAAGTATTTTCAGAAATTTTCGGATAAGTCGCTAATAGCTTAAAGAAGGCAGTTGAAGGGAAGCAAAAAATGTTGCACGCAGACAGTCTTTATTTTATGCAAAACTTTTTTGAGCACCCTAAGCACTTGTAAACACCATAATGGACTTTGTACTCTTCTTGAAAAATTATAAGTCATTTATGCGCGGCTGAAAGATCTCCATCTTTCTTAAGTAGTCATTGCAAAAGGGGCAAAATCAGAGTGCTAAAGCTTAACGAAATTATACTGCTTGCAAGTACTTGATGGCGCAAACCTATTGCCCGAAAACGTCACTCGTTCAGTCGAGAACCTCTCTCAAAACTATTGTTTCTACAATGTTTAAATTTGAAGACTATCGAAACCATTTTCTACCACCTTTTCATCAAAAGATATGATGTCAAGCACTGAAATTATGAATACTTCACTCGCTATGATACCAAATGATGTCAGATGCTCGGAGCTGATGCGCTTGAAATGATGTGAAATGCTTGATCATTTTGCTAATTCATGACCGAAAAGGAAACTTTACAAGATATGCCTTCCTCTACATTCTTTTGACTCTTAATACTCAAAAAACCAATTCCATTCTCTCTGCTGCATGTCCGCCTATCTATGCAATCGACAACTATACGAAGTGATAGTACAGTAAAGAGGTGAAGTCAGTCTAAAGAACGAAATATATTACATTACATGAATGTGTAGGGGCCTGCATGATTGCGAGAGTCGCACGTGCGTACAGCCACTGCGCCGCGCACGTGCGATGTCGCTGAGACAGGTGCCAAACTTTTTCTGTTTAACCGGTTCGTTCGGTTCACTCATTCGCTATTGGTCAAATCAATGCACTGACCGATAGCAGAGGGATTGAACCGACTAAACTGTTAAAAAGGGCAAGTCTGGCACCTATTTGCAATGGCCGTACGCACGTCTGACTCTCGCGATCATGCAGGCCCCTATACCTTGTAAATCAAGCTTGAGCGCTCGCGGAAAGTTACGCGAAGCATCCTGCAAGGGAGCGTAAAGGTGCATTGACTGCCCTAAGATAATCCGGAAATAAGAAAAACTGTTTTTTTCTGTTTTTTTTTCTGTTATGAAAATGATGTACATCGGAACTATCGCATCCGATGTACATCATTTTCAATTCGCCAAGTATCTCATGTTGAATTTTAACGGTTCAGTAATTTGGTCAAGGGTATGTGATACTCATGCTCACGCAACTTTTAAAAGAGCAAAACTGCTATCGCTGGGAAATGAAAATTTTGAAAGATCCAAGCAGCAGCCAAACACTTTTCCAGATTTCGTACAGGAAGCTTACAGCAGAGAGCTGAAGCTTTGCGGCAGGCATGCAAATGATGCAATTGGTTAGATACTGCACTAGTAACCGTTTTCGAAATGGATTTTTTTGCCCTGGATAAATCTTTATGTTGCATTAAACAGCGTCTTGATTGAGCTCACAATCGACGCAATCCGATGTGCCTGGTTTACCTGCAAACTGCTTTCCAGCAGATTTTGCATGATGTACCATAACAATTCTTGCAGATAAAGCAGGCGTTGGTTACTATTTGTCATCTAATTCAATGTCTAGTTACTGTCTTCAATCTGATTTCCGAAGTTTCAGTCTTTCTCTATTACTCTACTAGAGAATAGTCGAAAAAGTGTTCGCTATTGAGAAATGAAGTAAAAACAAGTGTGCTTTTTCATTGACAATAATTTCTGTTTCATTTTTTATTTATTCTTGAAAATCTCGGAGGATCTCGAACGACTTCACCTTCATGGCGTGTGTTGACAAGGTGCAAAACTCTGCCTATCGGTACATTCACATCCGCGGTCCATTCGCAAAACACTCACTTTATGGGTAAGTGTACGTTTTATGACCATTTCTTTGAACGAACTGGCATTTTTGTCAGTTGAACAGCTAGAAGCTAAACAGTGATAATCGGACAGAGCATCTATAGTTTCAATAAATATGGGGATAACATACATTTACAAACGTTTATCTGAGCCGTAGAAATGTCAATGTGCGTCACCTTTGCAATTATCGACATTCTAGTAAAAAACGTCTTCAAGAAATTCAAAAAATCATTTGTAAGCATGTTCCATTCCCTCTCTTTTCTGAACCGGAACATTTGGGACGGTAGTAATATTGTCAGATGATGTTACGCCAGTGACAGGTTTCATGATGGTATAGTTTATTGGCCCTATAATTTGACAAAATCGTCTCCGTCGGAGACTCAAAAGTAGGCATTGTTTTAATCGTGAGGCTCAGTCTAGTCCGTCTCTTCTGTTGGCTAACTTGGCTCTACTGGCTCTCACTAACACCGCGCTGGAAAAAGGTGCGTTTCTCATCAACATGTCTCACAAGGGAGGACTGATTAGTCGAAGTAGCCTTTACAAATGAGCCTCACACCCTTTAAAGAGCATCATACGATGATTCCAAATCTGTTTTCGCTATCCCCAAAGCTCCTCTGTATGCCGAGTTACGAGTATTTCATAGTACGAAAAATCAACGCATAATGTAGTTAAAATTGAATGTTAAGTCTTTTCAGCGCATAAGTAGAGCAGTGTTCAGTATGAGTGTTTTGGACAGAAGAATTCTTTAAAAGAGAGGTCTGATCATCAACACTGGACCATTTGAGCTATATTCGGCAAATTTTTTTCAACTGCGCATTTATTTTTATCATCTTAAAGACGCTCACTCGACGCTTAGACATGCTTGGCAGTTAACGAAGACAGATATGGAATCAGCGTTCGATGCTCCTTGAAGCCTTATCAGTTCCATGTGAAAAAAGCCACTTCGATTAAACAGACTTCCTTTGTAAGTACGTTGCGTGCAGGACAGGGTCTTGACTCGGCCGTGCGGGAAGGCGTTTGGCGGTCTAGCCTTACAGATAAATTACTGCAATGTATTTTTAGGCGTCCGACAAAGTCGTTTTGTCGTGAAGTAAGGCCAATAAATTATTCCACAGTACAAACCTGGCACTGGCATGACATTATCTGACAATATTACTACCATTTGTAAGCTCTCTGTATCATTTTCGAGACGACGCACGTTGACAGAATTTTGGAAAGTTTCAACATTTTGGTATCTTTTACCTCTTGCTCTTGAATCTCTAATGGCACACCGAAGTGGCTCCCGTATGCATCACCTTCATGCCCATAAGAGACAGCGCCGGAATACGTCCCAGAAATGTTAGAACAGGAAAAGCACAAGTAGAGGCAAAGAAAAAAAACAGAAAATGAGCTGTCAAAGGTGTCGTAAGCTTGTTGGTAATTTGTGCATTTGCAGCAGAAATAATGCTGAAGGATAGATTTTGCTACATTCTAAATGTGCCGCAAAATTAAGTTCTCCAAAAGCTTCTGGAATTTTCCAGAAAAATAGAAGAAAGTGTAGCAGAACTTATCCGTCAACTTACTATAATCTGAACATCAAGAGGAACCAAATTGTGCTTGGTATTGTTGAAACATATTCTGCTGACGTTTGATGACTTTTCTGAAGAGCTTGTCTATATTGTACTAGTCTAGTTTAGGTAAGTCAAATTGTTCAAGGAACTTACTCACTTACTCTTTTTAGGGCTTTCTACCAACTTATGGGTTAATGACTCTTAGCTAGATAGTGAATGCGAAATTTCTTGAATTTTTTTGAAGTTTGTAGTTTTTGTAGTATTTGTTCACCATTTAAGAGACATAGAGGACCTATAAGGAAACGTTGCGCACCCTTTCCGACAATTTCTGAGGACTTGAAAGAGTTGGCATTGTGATCTTCAGATTTATCTGTGATTGCAGGTTATAATAAGGGATGAACTTAGCTCCAAAAGAGCTAAGTTTAAGTGCAAGGTTGATTAAACTACATTTGAATGAAGGTAACGCAGAATGTTTTGACTTTTTGGTGAGGCTGTTTACATCTGAACACTCATTTGACAAAAACCCAGTTCAAACAATCTAAAATACCAACTCTGTCACATAACACACAAAGTGTAGTCTAGTTCAAGTGACAGAGCTAATGCTGTCTCAAGTAATTCAAATATTGGTATTATTCTATGCAAACTCTTTGGATGGGCTTAGGTGAGGTGCTGCCCAAAACGCAGCTCATAGAATTTATTCCCTAATGATTATGAGCTCGCAGTTTACGAGATAAATACACGATAGAGGCCGGTCATCTGCAACAGTTGCACTTCTGTCCGCCACAGCTCCTAATAGTAGTCCGTGGAGGTGGAGCCTATTGACAACTTCTTGTCCCATACCCCAGGATACATGACCAGCTTCCTCATGTAAGACACTTGAGCCGCGACTGTGCAGAGCTTTCATTGGTTTCCACTTAAGATCTTAGAAACCTAAACTTAAACTTGATGTTGAATGGTACATAGTCCATCAACAAAATTCGTATAAGCCTCTAGTCCAATAAAACTATCTTTCAAAATGAACTGCAATGTTATTCAGTAAACTCTTACGTAAAAGCTGAAGTGTTTATGCAGACTATTTCAACAGGGATGATGACCCTTTCAAAATTCGTCCTGGCTTGTTCTGATCACGGACATCCTTTACATACACATAGCCCACCTTTTTTGCAGCCGCCTCCCTTGCACTTCTGAAGCAAACCCATTTATTGCGTTAGAATACAAGACCAAGACTTACTTTGATTTTTTTGCAATCTGATTCGCAGATTTGGTCAGCTAATGGATCCTTAGTGCCAGTGGAAGGGGGTATGCAAATTGGATCAGGATATGCGATATCTTTTGCCTCCACCAAAAGTTGCGATAGGAGCATCAGCATCAGCAATTTAACAAGCGGAAGCATGATCTTTTCTGGAATGAGATCAGATGTTCTACAGCTCTGATTTACGATGCCATGGAAACGAAAGCTTCACGCAGGTGTTTGAGCTACTAAGAATAAACTGGATATCTGAGAGAAGCAGAAGATGTAGTCTCAAATCTGGAACAAATCTTTGAAAGACTCAGACGTATAAAAGCGTCTTAAGAGATTATACTGAGTACACAGAGTATACAAAAGGCTCTTTTTATGGGATTATCTTTTTATGGCTCTCCATACTTACTGTTTACTTGTCTCAAAATTAAATTATAAAATTACGGCTAATTTTGGGTGTATAAGGGAAATCAGTTGTTAGCTTTTTTCCGTTTAAGGAACTAGTTCCAAAAAATGCATAAAGGTTTGCGAAACCGGGAAAGAGAGCTATTTGATAAGATTAAATAGTACATAGGTTTATTCAATATACTATTTACATGTGCCGCGCAAACTTGTCGAATTCAAATATTTCAATAACACTTTCCGCCAATCTCAATGACTTGCTTGGCATTAAGTTGATAAAAAGAAAATCGTTGTTCTTATACTCACCTTAGCAGTTGTATAGAAAAAAAGCATTATTATGTTGAAACGAAGAAGAAGATTGCTTTGTTTGCTGTAATAAAAGTTTGTCATAAATAAATCATATTTCTTCTCCGACTACCTTTTTTGACTGAACCATGTTTGTGTTAAATCAAATGTCTCTCTATAGCTATATGCTTTCCGAAATTACAACAGAAAACAGCAAAGTTAATTAGCTGTTATTTTCCATCAAAAATCATAACATTTTATGGAACGCTTCATTTGTAAAAACTCGCTCAACGAAGTAGATGTAGCAAAAAAATTTAGCGTTTCCTATACTAAATTTGAAAGTCGCTTACTACAAGCTTATTAAAGAGTCTCAAGTCCCTTCTGTTCGGTGACGAAGCAACTGGCGCTAGTCGAAAGGAACTGTCCCCATGCAAGTTACTAATCGGAAATCTTTTTATTTTCCTGGATTCACCCACGTTATCCTTTGGGGCATACTCTACTCAAGGAAATTCATCCAAGTTAGATTTGGTATGATACCGTGAAAAAATAGGAGCAAAATTGCTGGAATTGCTGGTAAACCCGCATACTAAACCGCGGTCAACACATACTTCGCCTTTTATGCTAATAACAATTCGTAGAATCTCCTTTATAACCGTAGTCTTTGCCGGTGTTTAGATGACTGAAAACTATTTGAGCTTTTCTCACCAGCTTTATATAAATATAGAAAGTGCCAAGCACCGATATCAAATGCTTTTTGATTACTAAGATACCAAATGATGCCAATTGCTTGTTGCTGACCAAGGCCTGAAATGTAGTGCAGCGCTTCCTGATTCTGTATAATTTTACAGACATGACTTTGAAAACTCAAAGAAAGGGCATCAGTAAGGAGAATGCCACTGCAACCCTTTTCTTTATGCAAAAGTGAATATCACTATCTTTTTACTGCATGTTCGGCAGCGCAAGCGAAAGACATGGCGGAGTGATGGAACAGCAAAATAAATGGCAGATTATTTTTGTGAAAATGCCAACTTGTACACGTTCCTCCGTCAGTTCGTCGGCTCTTTCTTAAAAATTGGAGAATACGTCTACAATCAAAAAATTAAAGGCTCTTTATACTGTTTCATTTTATTAGGAAAAGCCGCCATCCTTACGTTCGGTGCATACGCTTTTGAACATCTTTATGAGAGCATTTGCGAGGCAGGCGACGACCACTAATTCACCATATTTTATCCTATTACACGAGCAGAAAAGCTGGATTTTGAATTCCGGCAAAAGTGTAAGTCTCCTTTTACCACCACTTACTTCTGCGTAAGTTTAGAGATTCACAACATCCAACTTGCTTACCGTATGGATTTACAGCCAAAAAATTGAAAATACAGCCGACTGCTCCTTTCCTTACTTCGAGAGTCCCAATATGTTGCTCTCGTCACTTTAGCCGAAATCAAGGGTTAACATATGCATTTGAGAGCCGATTTGTTCGTTTCTAATAGCCCAAGAACGGTCACTGTCCCTAATCTAGCATAATTACACTAGCGAAAAGTTTTGCAAGAACATGCGCAGTGCTAATCTGATCATCTAAATCTATCTAATCTATCTAATCTTGATTTTTACTGACTGTGATCCTTCCTTGTAATCAATATAGGTGATACAAAATCGATCACCCACTTGCAAGCGTTTTTCGACAGATTCTTACCTTTTTTTGAGATTTGACAATTTCAGACTTCCAAAAGCTTATGACTTCTTCCGGAAAGTTGTTTCGTAGAAAAGAAAAGCAGATTTGAAATCAGCTTTGAATGCGCGTCTGGTGACACGCATCTCCCTTCGGGCCAGATCAATTGCCATTTCCTAATTAGATGCATTTAAAGGGTGTTCAGGCTTGGAATTTCAATTTTCGAGTTTTGACACGTCTTCTCAGACTAACGCCTCCTTGCTGAGGACTCAGAACACAGTCTTAAAGGCAGTGTCCTGGCAGAAGCGCTCCGCGGGGGATATAGCTGTGGTGGTCACCCCACTTATTTCTAGGCCCAGTCGACTGATTGATGTTTACCCTGCGAAAAAAAAAGAAAATAGCCCTGGAACCGACCGCGCAACCCCAGTCGGTGCTGCTCGAACGGCTTCGCACCTGTTCGGCGCGGGACCCCATGACAGCTCCCGCGTTGTGCATGCCGTTCAAACCAAAAATTACGGGCGACAAGTTCTTCGTGCCAGAATCTCCCAACTTTCCATAGAAACTCTCGTATGACCTGCCTTTTGGAAAGTGGCTAAACGCTCCAAAAACGGTCTTTTAACTTAAGAGCTCAGATTCGGATTCTGCGTGTCGAAAAGCCCTGAAATATGCAAAACTGTGAAAGTGCAATTTGCTGGGGCACTGTCTCCAAGGAATTTGGTGTGAGCTTGTACCAAGATATGGCTATACAGGGTCTTGATCTTTTTGAATCCGCAAAAGTCCTAAAACTCAATGGCACGGCCTGCAAGGTTGTTTGTTCGAGTGGGCTTACGATATGATATAACTAACACACCTGATTAACAATTGAGCGCTTGGGTGCGGGCAATAATAGTCACAAGGAGAACAACGTGCACAGACGAAAACATCTGATGAATATAATGCTAGAGTCCTGATTTGAGGGAGTTTTATACTGAAGACTCACACTTTTTTGACCTTTAAGTATGCTGATAAAGCGCGCTGTCACGATGTAGTATTATGACGTTTATTTCGGCCGATTCAAAAATTTCGAAATCAACGCGGCGTCAAGTCTGGTACAAGAAGCTTTACGAAGCTAAGCTTGGTCTTCACTAAGATTACAGAAAAACTTATTCTCCAGCACTTATCAAAGACACTATTACTTGCTTAGTCACAGTATGGCGCAAAATAGATCAAACTTTGAGATAGCATCAGTGTTGTGTTGTTAGTCAGGTATGGCCATTAAGAACTGCAGAACAGGGGCTTTGATTTAACGACTACTGAACCATCGTTTACTTCACATCTACTTTCCAGAGGTTGTAAGCTTCGAAGAGCAATACAGTGCTAGACACAATTATTATCCACTCTCAATATCGCCATAATTTGCCTTTTTGTTAATGGCTCTATTTGAAGTTCTGTTGCGTTGTATACATGCAAGCCTATCAAAACGACTCTCAATCTCGTTGATTTGAAGCGGTGAAAAAGAGAAATTCTTAAAAAAGCCTTGATCAAGCTGGACAATACTATAAATACACTTGCTTTTTTCAGCCACCATTGCATTTCTTGCATTCCTTGACTCTAAAAGAAAATTCGAGGGATAAACAACCACCTGAAATTTTTCCCTCTCAAAATCTCTCAAAGTCAATCTGCTTCAATAAACAGCTGGTTTGAGTTTACGAGCTTTTATACATACCACGCGAAAGCCTCAAAAGCTGTTGAGCTTTTTTTGATAAAAGAGGTGGAGAACGCTTTTATACACTTTGCGTAATTGGATTGACGAACAAGCTCCACACCAAAGGGTAACCATATTTCCACAAAACACTATGTTCGATATTTAGGAAGTGCTGAGGTTGATTTATTATATCGCTTAACTGATGATGCGGTCCTGCTAAACTCTCAGAATGTTGTGATGCAATCGCCTTTAGATTTAAATTACTTTTCGTGAAAATTCTTTGTGAGCAAAGATTGGACATAACCCACTCCCCTCTGATTTGAATCAGGTTTTGCGAATTAGTCAAGAGTGACTAAGATTTTAAAGTTCTGAGGGTTCTAAAATTTGACCTGGTGGTCTGAGGTGTAATTGGGCAGAATGTTCCGATCACTTCTCGAAGTATGACAATTGTGGATCCAAAACGCCCAGTGCACCTATTTTTTTCTAACTGTGCACACGACTTTATTTTCGTTGCGTTTTTGCTTGGTTTTCAAGTTTTGAAACCCAAGCCTTGGGATGTAAAAGCGTGACAGTCCCGGTGATCTTAGAGCTTGTCTTTCAACATCAACTATTACGCAAAGTCTATATGTGCGTCCTTTACCTTATTTTCAAAAAATAAGAAGAAATAGTGAAATTTAGGCTTATACCCTCTTTACTGTTCAGGGGAAATTCCATGCAAAGTACTCGAAACTTGAAGACACGATTGCATCACAACAATCTGAGAGTTTTCGCAAAACCGCATCATCATATAGGCAAGGTAATAAATCAAGCCCAGCACTTCCTGAATATTAAACATCGAGTTTTGTAGAAAAGTGTCTAATTTATGGTGATTTTGCAGTTGTCCGTCAAAATCAGTGCTTACGCGAAGTTTCTAACAAGGAAAGGATACTTACAAGAACGATACTCGGTGTCCGTGGCCTTTTGAGATGTGTTGTATACCATTACACTCGTCTTGGAACGCTGAATCCGAATCTGACTTCCGTATCTGCGGCTGCCCAGTGAAATGCGATCGAAGCGCCAGCACTAGTCGTAAGCTGCGGTTTAGTGGTTAGTGCGATAGCCTCGTGAGCTGATGCAGGGGTAG